TCAGATAGCAAAATGACACTGTCACCTGACAGATTACAATGGCTGAGATCCAGAGACTTTACATGGTCTACAAGCTCCAAAACCGTATGTACGGCCATCACATCAACAACTTCAAGGTGGATTCCACTAACATCAATTCCATCACTGGCCAGGAGGTTGGCTGACATAGCATAGCAGCTATGGGTGATTATGTCAGTGTCCTGATTGGGATTTCCAAGAGCGCGGTTATGTTGGAGTGAAATGCTGTTTTCCATCAAACATCTCATCATGAACAGAAGCATCTTCTTCTTGCTCTTGACAGTATGATCACTGATGCTGTTTTCAGACTGTAGAGCCGGCAATGATGGACAAAGAAGGTCTGGCTTCAGTGCTCCAAAGACAAACTGCCAGAAGACAAGTGTGTTCAAGTCTGTGCCGACAGTGTTGATGCACCTGCGGATGATGTCTGCGCACGAGTCAGAAGAAATAATGCATCTCGATGCACACCACTCTTGCAGTGTCAAGTGAGTCAAGGACACAGTCTGAGTGGAACCGACGAACGACGGATGCATACCAGGGTTGAGCAGTAAGCCGAGATCTTGACAAATGGACTGGTGGAGGGTTGACAGCGTGGATGTAAACGTAGCCATGCCCCTTTGATATGTTGCAAGACACATTGTGTAGAGATTGTGCAATGCCTTGACTAGCTCCACAGCATGGTGATCACACTCCTCATCATTGTTGCTTGTCTCCTTCACATAGCGCTCCAAATGATGTTCTATTACCACGGGGATACTGACAAGATCACCACAACTGAAGTGCCGGCCACCACTGCAGTGACTGATGACGTCATGTGCAAGCCGTACTTGACCAAACTTTCCTCGTCGCTTTTCCAGCTTTGCGACTGAGGAGCGTAAGTAGTGGTCGTAGAAAAGTGTCACACTGGAGGGTAGAGAGTTGTTGATGGGATATTGCTGAACGAGCAGAGCACATAGGAGTGGAGATTGTCGAATGGCTTCCTTCAGCAGACAGTTGGTCGGCTGTGAGAGCTCTGTAATACACTTCTTGGCAACCTCCTCTCCGAGCTGTCTTGAGCAGTACGCAACGAGCTGATCTGTCGAGAAGCCGAGAAGTCGGAAACGTAAGCGGAAATTCTGGATATGGTGATACGCTTCATCACACGGTCGGCTAGTTGCGACTACAATAGCATCAGGTAGTAGTGAATGGTTACTGCTGCTGCTCCTCAATATTACAGCTTGGGCTGCTGATCCTTTGCCAAACCCACCACTGCCAAGTTCGTCGATGCCATCAATAACGATCAATACCTGGTCAGAATGCTCTGTTAGGTACCTTAGCAAGGTAGATTGCTCCGGTTTACTGATGCCCAACTTGTCCAAACCAAGAAATACAAACCAATCAGTCGACTGTGTACGTGTCAAATCACGGCATGGCACGTAGAAAATGAATTCAATCTTTGCCAGATTTCCAGTCGTTGTCTCCATGATGTCGGCAATGACTCGTTTGCTCAGTGTTGTCTTTCCCTGCCCAGCGTTCCCAATTACGATGCAACTTTCCAGAATGTCTTCGTCAACTGTGTCATCACCACCACCAACACCAGCACCACTTTTGCCAGCGCTAGTTACACCTTCATAATAATGGGGATCAGACAAGAGCTGCTTAGCGCTGGACAGAACAAACTGCCTTCCTCCTTCCACTTTGCCACTCTTATCTTGTTTAGTTCCTGGGATAGCAACGCCTGGTGTACGGTCAGATATTGGCTGTCTTCCAGTGACACGGCGAGTTGCAGCTTGTTGCGCACGATACGTCAGCTGCAGAGCATCTTTCTCCGTCAGAGCCTGCATGGGCACGAAGCAATCCTTGACATCGCCGGACAAGCAAGTTAGATCTGAATGATCAGCGGTGGTCTTGCACAGATGTGTATTCACTCTGTGCAGATGTTGTTTAAGACGTTGAATGTGCCCACCATTGTCTGCTCCATCATCATTCACTAACAGTATATTACATGTCACTGTGCCATCGTTAGCTGTGTTGCTGCCTGCACGCATAGTAGCAACATCAACTGTGGTGAAACACAGGACAGGAAAGAGGAAAAAGAACAAATTGTTTGATGGTATATCATTGTACAGATGTACTGTGATGATATGTTGACAAGTATATTCCTAAATGTAGATAGTGTGTGTGTGTGTGTGTGTGTGTGTGTGTGTGTGTCTGTGCATGCGTGTGTGTTTGTGTTTGTGTGTGTCTGTGCGTGCGTGCGTTTGTGTGTGTGTGTGTGTGTGTGCACGCGCGCGCGCGCGTGTGTGTGTGTGTGTGTGTGTGTGTGTGTGTGTGTGTGTGTGTGTGTGTGTGTGTGTGTGTGTGTGTGTGTGTGTGTGTGTGTGTGTGTGTGAACCACTGATTGTACTCTTTACATACACACATACATAAGAACTGAACTGAATGGCGTCAACAAAAGAAACATTCAGGGCAGCGCCGTGTGATTTTTTGTTTAGTATATTTTATGCGTATTGGTAACCGATTTGTTTGCGTGGTATCTGGTATCTTCACTGATTAATTGTTCCTGTTTCTGTAGACGTGTTCTTCCTTGCTGTTCATCCATTCCTTCGTTTGGTTTTCTTTTCTGAATTTCGGCGATGGTTGAGATGTTTGTGTCAGTCCATGTCTATTTCTGTGTGCTTTTTTGTCTCTCTGTGAGTTTTCGTAACCCCATTGGCTGTGTTGTGGGTTTTCGGTCAACTGTCAAGTGTGCGTCTTGTGCTGCAAGATGCCTGGATACCCAGTTCTGCTGCCACTGTCTTCTCGGTCCGTGAGTGCCGTCGGTCTCACCGCTCCCGGCAGCGGCGCGGAGTCCAGCGTGCGGCTACTCGTCACGTGTCCAACAATTGTGGTTATACATGTTGTGTTTTATTCTCGCATTTTTATGCTCATTCACAGTTTCATTTCTTTCCTCTTTCTGTCTTCTCCGATCCGTCTTCTTCAATTTTTTGGGCTTCATTTGTTTCGCTTTCATCCTCAGGAGAGGATGTCTTTTTTCGGTGGGGGATAGAGTTGTACACGCTGCTGAATCGTGGAACACGCTGCTGAATCGTGGTACACGCTGCTGAATCGGGGTACACGCTGCTGAATCGTGGTACACGCTGCTGAATCGGGGTACACGCTGCTGAATCGTGGTACACGCTGCTGAATCGTGGTACATGCTGCTGAATCGTGGTACAAGCTGCTGAATCGTGGTACACGCTGCTGGATTGTGGTACACGCTGCTGAATCGTGGTACACGCTGCTGAATCGTGGTACATGCTGCTGAATCGTGGTACAAGCTGCTGAATCGTGGTACACGCTGCTGGATCGTGGTACACGCTGCTGAATCGTGGTACACGCTGCTGAATCGTGGTACACGCTGCTGCGTTTTTGCAACAGGTGTGTACTCACATGCATAAAGCCTAGTTCACATTCGACGGAACGCTGACGGTACGGGACGTAACTCCTGTCGAGAAGGCTGGGATGAACTGTAAAATCTTGAACGATTCGTACGACACGACATGCTGCAGTCGTTTTGTCGTTCAGCAGCAAACGACGCCAGTCATAAGGCACGGCCCATGACAGGGTGACCTTTGGACCTATTTTCTTATTTTCGGTATTTCTTTTCAATTATTTCTCCTTGAATGAAGCGGACTCAAGTTCACAATATCAGTATTCATGAAAACCAAAAAAGTAGCATCGAAAGGCGTGCCATTCAAATTATAGCTCCAGGGAATGATAAAACAGTTTGTCTGTCACGCTCCTGAACTATCCCTAAATACCATAAGTGACACCAGACCGTATCTTGCTCAAATTCAACTCAAGTCGTGTTAGCCATTCTGCGAGTCATCATGGGAAGCACAGTGTTCGAAATGCTAAAAATTTCCAAAGTACGAATCGGGAGTAGTCGGCGCACAACGCCGTCTCCTGTTCACACTCAAAATGCAGCTGTTTTGTACACTTGCATCCCTGTCTACGCCCGTCTACGGTATGAAAAGTTGGATCGATCAAACTCTTCCCGTCGCTTCCCGATCTGTACGGCAATACGGCTGCGTTCCCGTTCCTGGTGTTCACATTGGACGCCGTCAGACTGTCCCATCGCTTCCCGTCGATCCTTACATCCCGTCCCGTCGTGCCCCGTCGAATGTGAACTAGGCTTTATAGTCACCCCTTCTGTACACACTTCTCGCACTGGTCCCCATTGGGACAGCATTGTATCGCTTACCCGTGCACTTTTTGTGCTGATAAGCGCACCACTTTTGCCCTGATGAGTGCACCACATTCCTGGATAATATTCACTTGTCAGTTGTCATACGTCAGTTGCCCAGACGTCTCCTTAGAGAAAGAAAAAAGTATTCTCTCCTACTAGACAGCTGGCCTTCTGTTGTGTATCGCGGCCGCAAGAGGGGTACAGTTCGCTTTAAGCTACAGTCCATTCAGAAAAAGATGAGCACTGGCCCCGGAGAGCACTCGTGCTTGGTGATTTCGCCAGTGACGCGGGATTCGAAACTTGAAAAGGGTCCACAAAAGGTACCTCAACTGGGGTTTGAACCTCAAATGCACTGTTCTGCAAGTGGAGTGCACGGGTTGGATTTTCATGGTTTTTCCCCAATTCAGTGCTTTGGGGGCAAAACCTGGCCGAAATCCTATTCTTGTTATGGCTTGCTTTTTGGAGAAATAGACTTCGAAAACACAATTGGAAGAGGATTCCATGGGGGATTGCAAAAAATTGGGAAAAAACTCAAAATTTGACCCATTTCTGGCCAAAAGCTAGGATATCATCTTTTTCTGAATGTACTGTAGACTATACTTTGGTGTAATGAGTTTAATTCTGCTGGTAAGGTACAAAACTAAAATTTCACTTCACAGCAGAAGTTTGATTGATGGCAATGTTTAAATTGGGGACGTTCAGACTGTAAGTGGTATACCCACACCCCCGAGACCATTCTTGTGACCATCCCCATTCCGGACATATCAATTACCTGTCTCGTGAGAGGATGTCTTGGCCGTTGGTGGCTGGTCAACGGGCAACAGGAGAAGCATTTCTTGGTACAATTCATCATACAATGGACCCAAGTCATGGATTGCATTGCAGAGTAGTTTATAAGCACCTGTGCGCCCAGGACTTATAAGACTGATGATGTGAGAATTATGCGCTTCCTTTCCTTTGTTGTTCTCCAGATGCTCCAATGTCTCAATTTGTTTTGTACTTGTGAACGCACCTTTGTGCTGCATAGAATGTCGAAAGCTCGTTGCATCCAATTCATAAATCCAGGGTAAAATATGGGAAATGAACTTGGGATCATCAAATGGTCCGTCTAAAGAACACGAAAAGACAAAACAAATATACAGGAATGTTGAACTAATCGAAACAGCATGGACAGATAATCATCAGCAATTTTGAGACAGTATCCTGGACAACCAATCACCATGACAACCGGGTCATGTTTGGACACCTCAACATCATGTACCCTCCCACCCCCCCCCCCCCCCTCCCCCCCCCCCCCCCGCCATCCCTTTCTTAGCATACTCAAGCTCGACTGATGTGGAGCGACCTCCCTGGAAAACTGTACTTTAAGTATGGAGCCATAATTTCTTGCAGGTTTGCAAAGTGAAACATTTGATGGATGTTTTGTTTATGGACGGCTCTGCGGGATGGTAGTCAAATACAGTCAAATGAAAAGTCAAGTTGGCAGGTCCCCTGTTCTATTTGTGGTGATATCTCGAGGCAGCTTTTCGGGATGTAAGGAGCACTGCTACTGCCAGGGCTCGGCCATCATCGGATTTCGGCTTGCCATTTGAAATTGCGTACAGCGGCTCAACGGATGTAAGCAACAAATATTCTATAATGGGTTTGGTTCTCTATAAGGCATCTGCATTCTATAGCCTGTCTGCTTAAGATAGGAGTTTTGTTTCTTGTTTGCTCTTATAATCGCATGTAACCAAAGGCTTGTTGCTAAGATACTGCACATTCAATTATGGTGGACTGCTGGTCTGACTTACTGTTAGACATTTTGAAGTACTTTCAGGACGATGATAAACTGGTTATTGTAGCACGGTTCATACACTCTTCACTGCAGTCATGGTCTGTGTAGTTTTCTGCATACACACACACACACACACACACACACACACACACACACAAACACACACACGGACACACAAACACAAACACACGGATACACGCACGAATACACAACTGAATTTGAGATAGGCCACTGCTGGTGCTGTTGTTTCTTCAAACCGGTATGCCCAGTTTTCATTGAACAAGTTCCCAGGAATACAGAAGCTAGCAATGGTAGTCATGGCTCTGCAATACAACTCACCGCTATCATCGGGAGATGAAAGCAGCTGCTAGGCGTTGAACAGCTGGATTATGTGATTACCAGAAACTCAGCTTGGCTAGTGATCCAGGTCGCTCCAACATACAATAGTTGACAATGCCTCATTCACTGCAGTGATCAGTTCCTTCCTTGCTACGCTGTCGCAACCTTTACATCTGGCGGTACAGTGTGTAAGGTGCACACGTTTGTTGTGGTGTCTGAAAGAAGGAAATTTGAGAATAGAAGGCAGGTTTTAAAGTACTGATAATATTCAGAAGAGAATGTATCATGAATCATGGATGAGCAGCCTATGCTCATTCTTAGTCACTAACTACACTGTAATGGCTTTACATGTGTCTTCACTTAACACTCTACTATACTGATACAGGTTATCAACTTACACACAGTGTATAGTAGTAGACAGGGGTGTATGCCAATGCTACACTGCAAGACCGACAACGAACTGCACAAGAGGTCGCCCTCCAGGCAAGCCTGAGCTCCTCGCAGCTCAATAGCAACAGCGAGCCGGAACCCACAAATTCGCATGGCACAGCTAGTGGGCAGGGGGCTGCAACACCGCCAATCCCGCCAGCTGACCAACGACTCAAGACTCGGTGAGCTGAGCCCCGAGGACACATAGCAGATCATATCTGCAGCGTACGAGGAAATCGCACACTTCCGGCCTAACCTGTTCTCCATCCTATCGGGTGCACATGGCAGGTCAGTGGGGGACTTGAGCGCTCGCTACCTCAACACGTTCTGAACAAACGCAGCGGGAGAAGGCATAGCCTTGAAGGCAATTATGGTCTGCCATAGTCTTCTACTGCAACGACCGGTCAACTTCTTGACACACAAGGTGCATGTGGAATGTCTGAACCGACGAATGCAGCTTTGGAACGAGGGAAACATCGATGAGCTTGTCCGGGAGGCACGTACCATCCAGCGCCAACTAACCAAGGAACGTGGCGGGAAACGGGCCCAAAGTCCAGATGGCGCGCGAAGTTTCACTACCCTCATCACAAATGGTGAACTGGGTGCAGATCTCCAGTCCCTGACAGCAACACCGGGTGGGCTGCTAAATCTGGACTCCTCCACTGTTGGTAAAACCGTGAGACAAACGCTGAAAGAGAAGCACCTGCCGGCGGAACCCATGCATGCAGATGCCCTCATCATCGGCCCCTGCCCCGAATTGCTGCACCCGGTGCTGTTCGAAGCTCTGAACAGAGACATCATTCGGCAATCGGTGCTACGGCCCATCCGCCATGGACTCTACCAGCTGGAAACGTTTGTGCACCACGTTTGGAGCGTCCTCGGACCAGCTATGTGATAGCTTCGCCGCCTGTGCTAAGCGCATCGCCACCGGAATTATCAACCCAATCCCCCTCAAGCCATTCACAGCATGCCACTTGGTGCCTCTGGATAAGAAGTCCGGGGTGCACCCAATTGGCATACCGTAAAATTCCGTGAATAAGCCCACCCTAAATAACGCCCATGTCCGATAATAAGCCCAGTTTTAGGCGGTGTACACTTCAAGTCCGTTTTAGCGTTCATGCCCGAAATAAGCCCAGGGCGTAAAGTGGACACAAAATGACCAGCGCGCGAGCGTGTGTTCGCGTACAAACTGTATAACAGTTGTAGACGTGTTCAGCCATGCCGCTACCTGTTGTGCCTTGTACTTACCATAGCAAGTGGTTTAGCTATCAAACCTGTAATTTATCGCTACATTCCTGGTTACGATCAAATTTCCAGAGTTGGTTTGATGTACATGTACGTGTACCGTGCTCAGTGAGAATGGTGCTTCACTCAAACTAGTGGCTTGCTGAGAGGTACATCTTCTGCACCCGAAATAACGCCCATGCCCTAAGATAAGCCCATGCCCAAATATACGCCCGGTTTTTGAACCTCTGCAAAGTATACGCCCGGGGTTTATCAACGGAATTTTACGGTATGTGAAGTCCTCAGAAGGATGGTAGGCAAAGCCATCCTCACCATCATCGGAAGGCAGATCCAACAGGCGGTCGGGTCGCTTCAGCTTTGTGGCGGCCAAGAATGTGGAGTGGAAGCAGCAATACACGCAATGCAGCACCTGTGGAACGAGGAAGAGACCGAAGCAGTCCTCCTAGCAGACGCAAGCAATGCGTTCAACAGGCTGAACCGCAGTGTGTGCTTGCACAACATCCGTCACCTCTCAGGTCCGGCCATCGCGGGTGCCGTTACCAACACCTACCGGCATCCCGCATGGTTGTTCGTCGATGGGGATTGTCTTCTTTCTGAGGAGGGCACCACCCAGGGAGACCCGATGGCAATGCCCATGTATGCCATTGAGCTCCTCCCACTCATGCAGAAGGCGGCGAGCAGCTCAGCCGACAAGAAGCAGGAGCCGTACTCTGCCACAATCTCGTACATCCGATGCAAGCTAAGCTTAGCCCTCATCCGTGCTGCTGGTGCCAGTCTGCGAGGCCATCGGCACCGAGTATCTTCAGATGCAAACGACTCGGCCCGATTTGCGGTTACCATGAGCAGCATCGGTTAGGTTCTTTTGAGAGTCATTAAAATCGGTACTAGACTGTGTTCACAGCCATGGCATTTTCGAACTCCCTCCAGAGACTCCGTATCAGACTGTTTTCACAGCCATTTTTGCTCTCTCGACTGTGTTCACAGTCATTTTTTGTCTTTTTCTTCCTGTACTGTTGAGGTTGCGCTTGTGTTTATTTATTTTCATGAAAAAATTAACTTGAAGTGACTTGCAGAAGACGGGTACGACGAAATATTCGAATTACACGGAATGTTTGAATTATCCCGTATTCGAATTAGAGGTAGTCCACCTGTAGTAACAACATACTTCACTTATTGAATGGGCAAGAAGGTAAAACTACCATTACAACTTCTGGCAAGAGTAAATAAGCTCCCATGAGCTTATATACTCTTGCTTCTGGTATGGAGAAATAGAATCAGGTAATAGAGGAAGCAAGTGGAATGGACAGTGGTAGCTTCACAAACAGGATAGTAGCAGAGGGCTGCCACTTTTCTGTTGGCAGAAATCAGAAGCAGTGTCTGAGGTGTTCAATGGCAGGGAGTCAAGGGGACAGCGACCTCTTTAGAAGTCGTCACATTTTTAGGATTTTAAGTGCCAGAAATAACAAAATAGTACACTTTGGTGAACAATCGTTTCGGTCGCTTTGTCGGAACAACTGATCGGAGTGTTTCCGGAAAATCGGAATAGAACAAGTCGAGGCCCTGACGATATGGATAGCCCTCCGTCCTGGCACATTTAAGTACATGTAACACGGTTTTAAACTATGATCAACTAGTGACAGCGAGTGGAAGGCAAAAAATCAGACTAACGGTAGCAAAGTTATGATACTTTTAGTGGCATGGGCCAGGGGTGTAGGAAGCAGATTTCAAATGGTCCAGCGGATTTTTAGCTCTTTACAGGTCGCAATTTTTTTTAATTTTTAACTCCGCCCAGTATGACTACAACAGTATTCACTTTGTCTTGGGGGTTAGGCATGGGGAAGTTGCCATACAGGGGTGGTGAGACCGCATATTGGCACCGGGAATACAGCTCACTCCACTCTGTCTCTACTGAATGAAGAGGGTGATTTTACTTGTAAAAGGATTGATATGAACAAATACTGTGGTATCATGAAAGACTTGAGGTTTTAAAACTGTCTGAATTGGGAGAGCTGATGCTCACTTCCACGTTCAAATTCACTCTTCAGGCACTAGACATCCAGCAGTTTCTTGTGGACATTCAGGAACATCAGGAGTCATGTGTTTGAGCCTTTCCTGGCCTGTTGTACTGTGTAGGACTTGACCCTCCGCATGGTTGAAAACGAGCTTGTTGCCTTTCTCCTTCTTCTTTTTTGCCGAAGCATCGGCGGATGCCGGACCTGCCGGACCTGTTCCTACGCCCCTGTGGGTACATCATGAACGTTGGCCTATGTCGAACATTTTGAGGGGGATCGTTGAGCACCCAAAGCACCCTCCCCCCCCCTCCCCCCCCCCCCCTGGGTACACCACTGGTAGGCCCGATGAGTCTGTAGAATCCATTTCAAGTCCTGCACAGCTTGATAAGAGTTCAAACTTTTTATCTTGCATAGCACTGTAAAAAATACTTCAGTACCTAATCCTCATGGCCAGCAATCGAGGACATCTGAGAGTTGTAATTTTTGTACTCCTCCGAGGTGTGATTTTTGGCGTGCTGGGCCAAGCACAAGGAAGTCATCTGCAAAAAAACGGCAGAAAATGGTTGTTGTTTGATCCTTTGGTGTAATCTTTGTTCCTAGTCGAAGCTAGTTGCTGTTTGGAGCAGAAACGCTGAAATTGACTATTTTCTGCATGTACTCATACATGTACTCATGTACTCAGGCATGCAGTCTCACTCGTATTTTAGCTCTTTTTCTGGAATGGATGCTGCTCTGCGCCCCTTGGTGAACATTTCCTGCGCTCGTGGAGCAGCTGAAAAGGACCACTGGTATGTCTAGTTCCTGGTTTGAAAGTGGAGAGTCGACTTTTGTGCCTTGAAAAAGGAGTAGAGAGCGATAAAGGTACGTCTGTGGCGTATTTTTGAGTGCTCCTCGTACATTTTTGATCGTGATAGAAATTCTCAGACCAAAGTCAGACCAAAGTCAGCGCGATGATGGCCGTACAGTTTTCTTGTGCATTTTTTAGTTCTTTCATCTCGTATCTATGTCAGTATCGTGATGGTGAAGTGGAGAGGGTGATTTTCTTCCTCTAGGCTTCGTTCGGCCGACTTTGCTTCGTCCTCGTTGAAAAGTGATCCTGAAAAAAGGTCGATTCGCAAAATTATGTTGATTTTGAATGTACGTGATGACATGCGATTGCTGGCTATGTTAAGGGAAAATTCTGCATTGCCATACCAACCAATTGTCTCTGGTCTTGCAGTACAACACATCCTTTCCCCTTCAACAACTGTCTCTGGTCTAAACTAGCATCTAGTTACCGCCTGAACACATCTACAGTCTCGATCTCAAGCAAACCGTTTGACTCATAAACTTAGCTGGCAAACATGCTACACAGTTCACACGTGACTCACTGTCATAGAGGATGGCTAAGGTAATCGCGAGTTGGTAATTAGTGGAATGGTGTGCTTGCTAACCGTGCCTGTGTTGTGTGTTTGTGCTGTGGTTCAGCAACTGTTGATCCAGGACTGAAACTTACAAGAATTGACAATCAGGCTTCA